GAATAATACCTAAAAAGATAATACCTGGGAGGTTTTCAAAATTGATAAAGGTTATGGAGTAACAGACTCAAAAAAGTTCTGTAAACTCCGAGAAGGATTAATACAAAAAAACACCACACCTGAGCACATTATAGCCAAACTACTGAAAACCAATGATAAAGAAAAATCTTAAAAGGCAGCTAGAGAAAAAAACAAGTATTATCTTCACAAGACCAATAACTAGACTGATGGCTGACCTTTCATTAGACGCATTGTATGTCCCCACTTAATATATACCGAGTGTCCACACTCTGTGACTGAAACTAATTGACTAAAGGATATAGAAACACAGTATATAGATGTAAATACCAGATATAGTGTGTGTGAAAGAGGAGGGTCTGAGAAAGGACATTTAGAAGAAAAATAGGGAGACAAAGCATTAATGGCACAAAGAAATGTGGTATTATCTGTTGAAGATATTTTGTAGTTTTATCAACTGGACTAGGGAGAAATGTTCACCTGTCGAAATATCCATTTTGTAAGCCAAATAATAATGTGATTGAATGTATAAAAGAAAATGAAATAACAAAAAAAAAAAAGTTTCAGAAAAAAAAAGAGAGAGAAAAAAAATCATTACTTCAGTAATGGTTCTATTTTTAATTTAATATTTGGAAGCAAAGTAAAGTTTTTGGATGGTCCTTCTATTCAAGGAGTAATGTTTAACATTATTGTATATACTACTGTAATCTGAGTAAAAATGCTCAACCAAAGATAACATTATTTTGTGGTGATAATAAGAGTGCACATTTATGTGGTAGAGTGTATAGTTGAAGTAAAAAGAACGTTCTTGCCCAAAGAAACCTACAAAGCAAAACCTATGAGATCGGAAAATGATGGAACAATGTGGCCATAATTTGTTGTGGTGCTCAAATAATACAGAATCTTATCCCCCCCCAAAAAAAAAGAAAAGAAAAGAAAAAAGATTAGAAGCCAGGATATTGTTTTCTTAGTTTTCCTTGATTTATCTTAAATAGTCAGCATTCTTTGTTTTTGTTGTTTTTACAGATACATGACATTTGATCATTAGAAAAGCCATGATGTATTTTTTCTGTTTTTCTATGCAAAAAATGCATTATGACTTTTCTGGTGACCCAATAAATATAGATAATTTATTTTCATCGTCTGATTTATTCCATCACTGTTTGTGATTTTGAACTTTTGAACTTTGGCATGTCGTATTTGAAAGGTATTTTAAAAGATCAGATATACAAACAGATGTGAGATTCCCATTGTCATTTAAAAAGTGGTGTTCTGGTTGTCACCACTTACTTTTCAAAAGTCTGTTCTGAATATTTTACCTGTTAATTTTTTTTAACCCCAGAGGTCTCATCTTAAGTAGAAATGTGTTTTTGACACTTTTTAAGACATGAATGATTATCTTTTGTTTATCTAAGTAAACATCAAGTTATATTTCAAAGTCATACTGACGTTTAGGTATGGCCAAAGATTCAGATCCAGCTGTCTGTGTGGAAACCACCGAAGAGCTGTTCAACCATCTTGAGTCTCACCGCATGCCTCCCTCCGATGTGTTCATTCTGGACCACATGAAAACTCTGTTACTTTTGCAAGATATTGAGAGATTGAAGAGTGCTCTGGAAATGTTCCCAGAACATTGCATGATGCCTCCTGGTAAGTACTGTACAATTTAGTCATTGCACTGCTTAAGATACTCTTGTCAAAGTTTGCCTCTGAAAAACTCACACCCCACCAAAACAGTAATGAATCAGAAAATATGACGACACACATATGGCTTGGAAGAATAGAGTCCCACGGAGAAATAAGCTTCTTGTGTCTCTGTTCAATATAAAAATATTTCATATAATATATGCATAACTGCATGTGCAATCTCACTTTCAGATTTGTATGCTATCAAGTTTTAAACCCAAAATTTCATACATTTAAATAAAAGTGTAAGAATTCACTTCTTCCCCCTTTCTTTCTCCTTTGTCTGGTTGGTAGAAGGTAAATTTTTTCTGTTGTTCGCATATCATGGCTTGCTTTATTGAACCCCTACAGTTAAAGATTTGAATTATGATGATACTTTTGGTTTGTTTGTTTGCTTTCTCCACCTTAGTAGGGTGCTCATTTTATGCAAACTGTAGTGACTCTAAGCCAATTGTCCTTGTGTCTTCCAAGTGCCACATGTGGTAACAAGGGCCATGTAGGACTATTTAGGCCACAGAAATCTGTAAACACTGAATATCAGAAAACTGGAACTTTGCGAAGAACCCCCTTCCCTGCACAACTCTGAGTGCAAAGCACCATGCCTTCCCCAGAGTAGGCACCTAACTAGTCTTCAATCAAATGAAAGAGTGAAAGAGACTCTGCAGATTACTTTGAAAGAGTTTCAAAAGAAGTGTAATGCATGGTTTCCATCCACAAAATTCTCAGTCTAATCGCAGAGTCAAGACTACCATTTAAAAGGCCAGATAGTAAATTAAGTAACAAGAAAGCAATTTCAATAAGGCAGTGATATAATGAGCAAGTGAATGGCAGGGACAAGAAGTACCATATTATAAGTGAAGAGGTCATCAAGGGTTGGCGTAGCCAGGAGGAAATGCCTTGTGAATACATGAATTGCATTATTTGTTGAAAGATTTATCTCACATCCACCTGTGCCATTGTCCACTTGTGCCATGATTCTCTGGATTAGGGAGCTTATCAGAGAAAAAAGGCAGATGACCCTGCCCTCGGGTACTTAGTGGGGGAGAAAAAAATAAACAAGACCAACAAGTGAAATTTGTACTATATGTGTAATATCTCATAGATAAGGGTGCAGAGGAGAACATGAAACAGGAGGGGATATTCTTCAAGTGCATAGCATACCTACTGTGTTTAGGAGCAGAAGAAACTGTGCATTGTGGAACAGCAAAGAGGCCCACGTGGCTGGAACAGAGACAAGGGGGTGGAGTCACAGAAGATAAGGTGGGAGAGGAGGGGAGAACTCACGCCCTGGGTCTCATGACAAATTTATTGACTTTTATTCAGAGGTAAATGAGAAATGACTGGAAGGCTTTGAGCTATAGGGTCTAATTGCACTTAGCAGGTGTCTGTGCTGTTGTGTTGAGACCAGATGGAAGGGGATCAAGATTGGAGACCAGCCACAGGCTGTAAGGGTGACCCCGGTGAGAGATGGCTGCAGTGTGGACCAGCTTTAGTGAAATAGTAGGACAGTAAGGTATGGCCAAATTCCTGATGGGTTCTGGAGGCAGAACCAATAGCATTTGCTGACTAACTGGGAATGGCATGTAGGACATGAGATGAGACGTGTGTAGGGTATAGGAGGTGAGACACATGTTTTGGCCTGAGCCACTGGAGGACAAAATAGCCCATAAGCGGGAGGAAAGACTGTTAAGAGGATCAGGTTTGGGGGTAGACGGAGACATATTAGGAGCTCAGGGCTGGATGGGTTGAGGCTAAGGAATTTATTAGACATCTAGGGGTCTGGTGATCACCTGGTCAGAGCCATGGTTGAGGACACGGAGAGCAGAGGGCAAAGGCTGTATTAGAGAAAGCTCAAGAGGAAACGGAGAGGAAAAACTGGAGACAGCGAGGGAAAATGACCCTGCCTGGAGGGTGGGCTACGAGGAACAGCGAAAAATAAGAGTAGAGGAGAAAGTGAAGCCAAAAGGCTTTGTTTTCAAAATAGAAGAAATTGCAACATGTGGTACTGGTGGGAGAGAAGGTGAGACCCACAGCACCACAGAAGCCATGCTCATCAAATAAAGGAGCAGCATTACTGTGCTCATACCTGACCATAATCATTTACCTCATGGGCCAGCATGCAAGCGTGTATTTTTTTGTTTATTTGTTTTTGGTTGTCAGACCTACTGTATTAAGTATTTAACAAACTTTGACTTCTATAGTGAAGTTTTATCTTAAGCTACAAAAACCCAATCTAAGTTAAACTAATGTGAAATTTTTATGAGAAATGAACATTTTAAATTACTGAAAAATTTTCATTTTAATTTAAAAAATATGTTTTTTACACTGAAAACTTTTCTTGGGCAGTATTCTGAAGTGTAAAGAGTGGCAGCCGTTAGTGATTTAGCAGAATTCCTAATATTAAAAGTCAGAGATGTCTTACGTTAAAATTATTGAACAAGTTTTGTCTACAAGGACATCTATTTTAAGTAATTGATAAAACTAAAACTTAGGTGTGATCCCATTTTCTGTAAAAATAGATTCCCCTTGAATGTATATGGATATACATTTAAAGTTTTTCTAAGCAAGCTGTTTTGTTAAATAAAATTTTATAAACAATGAAGCTCTGTTTTCAAATACCAGGTTCATCTAATGCAGATTTGACCTATGTAACTTTTTATTATTATTAATTTTTACTTACATATAATCACTGTGTATATATTTTTTTCTTTTTTGGGAGAGGTTTTTTTGCTATAGGGTGCGTGCACTCGCCAGACAGACAAGAGAGACAGAGAGACAGAAAGTAGGAAATCCCCCCCCATGGGGGATGGCCACGCCGCAATCCCTTTTCCTCCGTTCTCCTCTCGGGATCTTGGGCATGCACCCACACGCACCCGGCGTGAGTTTAAGCCACCGGGTCTGGGATTCAAACCACGGCCAACTCTATGGGAGTCCAGTGACATAGCCATTACGCTAACTGCTGGTCCCCCACTTGTCTATTTTTGGAATTATTGCCTATGTTATGAGGATCTCATTTAAGAAGTCTTTTTCTAGGACTAGTAGATGGCATAATGGTTAGGTTGCTGGACTCCCACGTAGTCAACCATGGAGTGGCAGCCGTTAGTGATTTAGCAGAATTCCTAATATTAAAAGTCAGAGATGTCTTACGTTAAAATTATTGAACAAGTTTTGTCTACAAGGACATCTATTTTAAGTAATTGATAAAACTAAAACTTAGGTGTGATCCCATTTTCTGTAAAAATAGATTCCCCTTGAATGTATATGGATATACATTTAAAGTTTTTCTAAGCAAGCTGTTTTGTTAAATAAAATTTTATAAACAATGAAGCTCTGTTTTCAAATACCAGGTTCATCTAATGCAGATTTGACCTATGTAACTTTTTATTATTATTAATTTTTACTTACATATAATCACTGTGTATATATTTTTTTCTTTTTTGGGAGAGGTTTTTTTGCTATAGGGTGCGTGCACTCGCCAGACAGACAAGAGAGACAGAGAGACAGAAAGTAGGAAATCCCCCCCCATGGGGGATGACCACGCCTCAATCCCTTTTCCTCCGTTCTCCTCTCGGGATCTTGGGCATGCACCCACACGCACCCGGCGTGAGTTTAAGCCACCGGGTCTGGGATTCAAACCACGGCCAACTCTATGGGAGTCCAGTGACATAGCCATTACGCTAACTGCTGGTCCCCCACTTGTCTATTTTTGGAATTATTGCCTATGTTATGAGGATCTCATTTAAGAAGTCTTTTTCTAGGACTAGTAGATGGCATAATGGTTAGGTTGCTGGACTCCCACGTAGTCAACCATGGTTTGAGTCCCAAACCCAGCAGTTAAAAATCATGCTGGGCACATGTGCATGCATGCCAAAATCCCCCAAAAAAGAATGGAGAAGGGATTTCAGCATGGCCAGCCCTCCTGGGGAGGAGGGGTGGTGATTTGTTGCTTTTTGTCTCTCTGGAGAATGCATGTGCCCTATAGCAAAAATATTTCTTAAAAAAAAGAAGAAGAATTTTTTGCCTACTCCAGTGTTTCCAAGAGTTTCCCCTGTGTTTCCTACCAATAGTGTAGTTTGAGGTTTTATGTTTAGATCTTCATTCCATTTTGAGTTGATTTTTGTTAATGGTGAGAGATATTGGTGCAGTTTCATTTTCTGCAGGTGGATATCCAGTTTTTCCAGCACCATTTGCTGAAGAGATTTTCTTTTACCCACTGGATTGACTGGCACCCTTTGTCAAAAATCAGTTTCCTGAATATTTTGGGGTTTATTTCTGGATTCCCTATTCTTTTCCATTGGTCTGCATGCCTGTTTTTGTGTCAGTACCTTGCTATTTTGATTTTCACAACTTTGAAATATATTTTGGAGTCAGGGAGTAAGATGCCTTCATTTTGTGCAATATTGCTTTAGTGATATGGGGTCGGGGCCTTTTATGATACCAGACAAAATTTTATGATTTTTTTTCCAATTCTGTAAATAATATCTCTGGTGCTTTAATTGGGAATGCATTAAATTTGATCATTAATTTGGGTAGCATTCACATTTTGATTATATTAATTCTTCCAATCCAGGAAAAAATGTTCTTCATTTTTTGTATCATTTTCCATTTCTTTTCTCAGTTTTTCATAGTTTTCTTTACAGAGGTATTTTGCTTCTTTGGCTAAGCTTATTTCTAGGTATCTTATACTTTTTGTGGATATTGTAAATGGGATTGCTTTCTTCAATTCTATTTTTGGAATTATTGCCTGTGCTATGAGGGTCTCATTTAAGAACTCTTTGCGTGGGACCAGCAGATGGCATAATGGTTACGTTGTTTGAAATGCTGTAATTTTTTGTATGTCGATTTTTGTATCCTGCCACTTTACTGTGTTCACTTATCACTTCCAGGAGTTTTTTGTGGATTCTTTTGGGTTTTCTGAGATTATAATCATATAATTTGCAAGTAGAGATCATTTCTCTTCTTCTTTTCCTACTTACACGCCTTTTATTTTAGTCTCTTGTCTAACTGAATTGACTAGGACTTCCAGTACTATATTAAAAAGGAATGGAGAAAGTGGGCAGCCTTATCTTTTTCCAGCTGTTAGTGAAAAAGTTTTCAGTTTTTCTCCATTCAGTATGATGTTAGCTAAGGGTTTTTCATAAAAACCATATGATCATATGTAACTTTTTGAAATGAAATTTTATTTTTTTATAAAACTAGCTTATAAATTTTAATTAGTAGTTGTATCTCTCATCCCTATAGGACAAGATGGAAATAATAGCACTTAAAAGTACATTTTTTTAATGGCTGAGTAATATTCCATAGTGTATATGTGCCACACTTTTTCAATCCACTCGTCTGTTCGTGGACATTTGGGTTGGTTCCATGTCTTAGCAATTGTGAATAATGTCTCAATAAACATGGATGTGCAAGTGTGTGGGAAGAGGGTAGAAGACGGCAAAAGGTAAGAGGGAGGGAATCATGGAGAAAAAAGAAAGAAGCAAAACATTTAAGAAACACAAATGGAAAATTATCTGTTAAAGATAATATGTATGGTAATATCTTTGATTGAGCCAATACACAGTGTATTCTGGATGGTAAAATTTAATTTGTATGCTGTAATGATATACAGTGAATGAATGTAATAAATAAAAATTAATTAATTAATTAAAAGTACATATGGAGTGTTTTCTACATAATACATGTCCTTTCTCTCTTTGCTGGTTCAATAACTAATTTTCCTAAATCGTAGGTACTTCTTTCAAGTGTAATGCATGTGCTTTTACAGTGTTACAACAAAGCTGGTATTCAATCAACTAGAATATTGTGATAGCTCTCACATTGATATATTGGGTTGTTGGGAAAGTCATGACACATTTTACATAGAAAAGTAAGTCATGACTTTCCCAATGACCTAATATTATATTTTATCATGTACAGATGGTCCCTGACTTACGTTAATTGGACTTAAAATTTTTCCATTTTACAATGACGCAAAAGCCTTTTGTATTCAGTAGAAGCCGTACTTTGAATGCCCATACAACTATCTGCTTTTCACGTTCTATACAGTATTCAGTAAATTATGTGAGATAGTCAAGACTATATTATAAGATCAGCTTTGTATTAGATGATTTTGGCAAACTACAGGCTGATGTAAGTGTTCTCAGCATGTTTAAGATGCCATAGACTAAGCTCTGATGTTCAGTATTTAGGTATATTAAATGCATTTTCAACTTAAAATACTTTCGACTTATGATGAATTTATCAGGACCTAACACCATTGTAAGTCAAGGAACATCTGTATATATGTTATAAATAATAGCTGCCATTCTTTGAATTTTTATCACACCCTACACACTGAGGAATTTCCACATTTAATCCTCCTGTAATCCCCTGTATCGAGGTTGAGTTTTTATTATCTTGGCTGTTGAAGCTTACAGAGGTTGGGCATATCTTGCCTCTGGGCAGAATAGAGTCTGCTCCAGGAGAATGTTGGAAGTACGTTTTTTTAGAGTTGGCTATGGGTCAGATCCCCTCTTCTAGCAGTGCCCAGGTAGCTGATCCATCTATTTTGGAGTGAAGCATTAGCATTGGCAGCAGGACTAGCCCTTTAGGATAACCCTGGGGTCTAAACCTGACTGGAGTAGTCTGTGCATCCGTTTTGCTTTTCCCTCTAGGGCTTAGTATGTGCTCTGTGTGGTTAGCAACTGTGGATTTAGCAGAATCTGCCATAAACTTGATTGAAGGTGGCAGCCTTTGAATAGTGTCTTTATAAGTTACAAAGCCTAACACTGGGGCCAGCCACGGTGCCACAGGTGATCAAGCATTGCTACACCATACTGGGCCCTGTGTGAAGGATCCTCGGTCAGCGGGAACATACCATGATTCCAGCTGGCAGGAGAGAGGGGTTGGTGAGGATTCTGGTGTTGCAGGACTCTCTCTCTCTCTCTGTCTCTTTCTCTCTCACTCAAGAAAAACTTTGCAAAACAATTTAAAAGCAAAACTTTGACTTTTGTAGAGAATCTTGACTCGCAGCCATAATTCTCCCGTGAAACAATAGAAGTGACAATTGATGTCCAAGACAAACTGCCTCCTTGCTAGTTGGCTTTTGGCTGTTCTCAGCATCACATTAGCTTTCATGAAACCTGACACTGTGTGGTCACTACACTGTCTCAGAATTCCACTTTTTAACCTTTCTCTAGTTATTTACCTTTGGCTTAAACTTCTATTTCTTTTGCATTTCAAGTTCAATACAGTTTTCTTTCAGGTTCAGATTTTATATTTTGAATATTGTACCATGATACTGTGGAGATCAGGTCTAAGGCAACATGTGAGCCTGCAGGGCTCATACCCAAGGAGATGTCAAAAAGTCCATGAAAAAGTGGAACTGAAGTCTGAATTTTATTTTGGTACCAAATTATTTTAAATCCATGCATTTTTTTCCTTAATACACACTTTCTACGAACTATTTGAAAAGTCCTTCATACACATATGCAGAATTGAGCTACCTTTTTGCCATATTTGTTGCCTAATATACGATTCATAAGTGTGGTATGTCTTTATCAACATCATTTTAATATCAAAGTTGTATTTTACTAGATTATTTCATGATTTACTTTGGGCCCAAAGGCCACTATTTACAAAGTAATAATTTATTATTTTTCTTTTTTGTCTATTTTAATTTTTGTGTTTTGTTTGTTTGTTTGTTTTGCCTTTCAGATCATGCCAGAGTAATCTCAGCTTTTTTTAATTACTGGATCACACACATCCTTCCTGAGAAAAACAGTGAATAAAATCAGTATATGTATTCAAGTTAAGCTAATGTTTAAAGAGTACATATAAAATATAAAGATGAAATGGGCTGGGAAGTATTTTTTATATAAAAAGAAGTAAAATTCCCAATGTTATCTTTGTAACTCAAACCCTGTTAACTCTGAAGACATTGCTGCCACATTATTTATTTTTGTGTTTGCAATTCCTATAAAAGCTAAAAATGAATATCTTGTTAGCTAAATAAACTGTATAGTTTTAAGCTGTTATTTATTTTTATAATGTTTTAAATCACCTTGTATCTGAAAGTCTCTGTTTTAAGAATGCTTTGTGGGTATTAAAAAATTTCTAGTGTAAGTGGTTTGATTATACCTGAATTTCTTTTTCTTTTTTTTTTTCTTTTACTTTGCGAATAATACCAAGAACCTGTTTTTTTTTTCTGTTTTAGTTTTCTTTTTGCTGAGGAAGCAGCCACAAATTTTTAGTATTACTATTTTAAAAGCATCAGCCCATTGGTACATTGTAGGAGGGCATTGACTCTATCCATGGAAATAATAGTTTTATTGTAGTAAAATGTACATAGCATAAAATTTACCATTTTAACCATTTTTAGGTGTATGTTCAGTGGTAGTGAATAGTGTTATTCCCACCATCACCATAGTCATTCCCTTTAAGGCTGAGTGACACCCTGTTGTGTGCGTACCCCAGATTTCAACTGCTGATGGACATGTGGCTGGCACCTCCCCCTTCTTCTGTCATAGACAATGCTGCTCTAAATACTCACGCACAGGAGTCTGCGTGGACACTGTTTTCGTTCCTCTTGGGAGTAGGTATGCTAGGTCAAATAATAACTCAACTTTGAACATTTTGAGGAACTACCAGATTGTTTTCCATAGAAGCTGCACCATTTTTCATTCCCACCAGCCAAATTCCGAATTCTCTACTTCCTCCCTAATATTAGTATTTTCTATTTAAAGAAAAAATATTTAATAGCTGTCCTAATGGGTACTACTACCACTATAATCTATTTTCCATCATTTTTATTGTTTTACATCATATTCTTATACATTTTTTCAACTTGTCTTCTAGTACTTTTATAGATTTTTTTAAATTAATTATAGATTTTAACTTCTCAGAGGTTTTATTGAAAGAAATTTTTTACAGCTTTCTGTACTTAAGTCTCTGAAAATCTCAGGTACTGCCTTTTCCTGCCATACTTACCACCTTTGTCCTCTGGGCCAAAGCTCAGTGTCCTTTTGCAAGGGGAAGCAGTTCCCAGGCTGCACCTGCCTTTGGTTCCCCAGTTCTGACCTCTGAGCACACTGATACCCTCCTAAATGCTTCTCATCTTCAAAAGCATCTAAATGAGTCTACTCCCCCTGTTACTCCACAGTCCCGCCATCTCCATTCTCTGTGCTGCTGTGGATCCTTTCCTTTTCCACATTCTCTGTTTTTAGTGGGTTTCGAGGAGCTGGCAGCAAGTGACCAGTGGCTGCATGGACCAGTGTGACCAACCTGAACCAGCACCTTTGGATTTGATGTAGCACTGCCTGTCAATACCAAAAGGGTGCTTCCAATTCAGTACGGGATATAATCCCCAACCCAGGAACTGGATCCACATTCCTTTGTGGAACTTGAAGCACTCAGTGAGGGCTTGGAGAGATGCTGTCCGTCTCTTCTTAGAAGGGAATTAGTGATGCCCATCTTCAGACCGTTGTCGTGATCTGCCCCCCCAAACAGCTGGAATTGGAATTATACGGCCAGGATGCAGATACGACCCCTGGGATAGATCAGCAGTGTTGAGCTGGTGAGGATTCACACAGGCTGCATCCTGCAGACCTAGCATGAGGCTGAGCACCATGCAGGCTCACTAGAACAGCAATGGCACTTTGGAGCTGCCTATTCCACCTGCACCCAGTGGGTCAAAGCTCTGGACAGAGGTGTTCAACGAGGAGAAAGGAAACGGATCCCTGAACTTTTGTAGTCCTCTCTCATTCTCACTCTCCAAGTCCCTATGAGATTCCCCTTCCACTGTGTAGAAATTTCTGGAAGAAGGTCAAAACAGAGGATTGTTTCCAGCTCTGAGAGAGGTCACCTTGGGCCTGATGGTCATGCAGTGCCCCAAGCTTAATAAAGGTTGGTAGCTGGAGCCAGCCTCACTGACCCGATACCAGGATGGGTCCTCGAGAAAACATTGGTGGGTAGGTAGGTGCATGTTGTCAGTAGTTCTTTACGTAGCTGAAAACAGGATGGAAGCCATACTCAAATGAGCATTCCGGGGAAAGGCCGCACCATGAGATGGGAGCTACAAGGGCGGCACCGTTTCACATTCTTGATGGCCTCAGAGGGGACACTGTCATCATGTCGGAGTGGTCGGGGACCCCCTCATCACACAAATGAGGAATGTATGCTGTATCCCCAGCAGTGGTGATGTGAGTCTCCTGCTTCCTCCGACTCTGGGAACCTGAATCCCGGACACACCAGGCTGTAATCCTAGCATTCAAAGTGCCTTTCAGTCGATGGGACATGTTCTGCCGATACGAAAATGAATGGCCTATTGACAATTGTATAATCTCCCCATTCTGAATGTCCAGTCTGTGTCCTCTAATCATGAGCCACCACTTGTATCTTTTTTCACACCCAGCAAGTTAATCCAGTAGTGACAAGTGGGGGGAAAGGGGCTTCTCATTTGTGTATCAGACTAGACCCTTCTCTTGACATCTCTCCATTTCCAGCACAGGATCCCCGTGAGAGTTCTCCTTCTATAATCTCATTTTGTTTTACTTTGTGGCACACTCTACATCCATTTTCCTGATCCTAAGAACACAGAGGACTAGGGACACAACGGAGCAGGTGGGGTGGTTAGCGTTAATGAGGTCTGTGTGTCCTTCTAATTCCAAAGAGAAAAATGTGTCTTCTAGAAGACAAAGGCAAATAAATCTTGTCTCTAATATGTCAGCATAAATATGATAATCTGTTTATCCCACTGTGATTGAAGTTGGATCATAATTAGATCAATTTATCTTCTACAACAGTACAAAATATTCATTCAGTCCATGTAATTTATTTTCTGTAAACCATATCAATTCAGGCAAACAAAGGATAGGAAGTGCTCAAGGAATGTGAGGAATTTCTATTAGGTTGCTAATATTCAGACAGTTGTGCCTAGAAGAAAATCCCAGTGTTTCCTAGGCCTGTCAACACTTGACTGCAGTGCTGTGAGCTTAGTGTGGTGTTTGCACAACTTGAGGGAGAACAAGCATTAGCGGGTCCCCGGCTTCTACAGCCCAGCTCCTGCCTTGCTTCCAGAATGGAACTGTGTCGTGTATGGGCATCTGGTGCCCACTTGATTAACTCCGGGTTTTTTTCCTCTGGCTGATTCTTGGCATGCTCTGGGCACCCTTTAGAGCAGGTATCTTCTCGTTCCAGGGTACGTTTTCTTTAGGAAATCTGATGAACACATCCAACCCTCTCCCAAATGAGAAACATGCACGTACCACCCCCACCGCACACAAACGTCCTCTCCCACCCATAGTTCGGGGAAGGTCTCAGATTCCCTAAAGCCTGTGCTGCAGTGTATTGATTTTCTGCTGCTGCGTAACAGATTACCTCAAACTACTGGCTTAAAACAGCACCTTTTACCATCTCACTGTGACCGTGGGTCAGGATGTGAGCACAGCGAAGCCAGTTTTCTGCCTAGTTTCCCAGGGCTGTTGGCAGAATTTCATTCCTGTGGTTGTAGGACTGAGGTTCCATTTTCTTGTTGGCTGCTGGCCAGAGCTCCTCCCCAGTCCCAGCCTCTTGGCCTCCCCCCAGCCTGGTAACTGACATCAGGCAGCAGAAGAATCCTGCTCAGTTCTAGCTCTCTTTCTTAAAGTCTCCCCAGATTCAGTCAGGCCCACTCTGGTAAGCTCTATTTTGAGCTCGAAGTCAAATAATTATAATGGCATCCTGGTGGATCACGGCATGAAGACACATTTGGGGTGCCTCCCTTTCTATCTCTGTCATACTGTCTGTTTCTGTTTCTCCTCTCATGGAAAAAAAATTAAGTATGTTTATATAAAAATACATAGAAATGTACATATATGTAAAACCTACATGTACACAGAGACAGAGCAAGTGTGGTATTATGTCAGAAATTGGTAGATACAGTGAAGAGAAAGCCCAAGACTGGGATGAGGCAGGGGAGACCCTCACCTGGTGGGGGCAGGGAGAACCCCAGAGATGAGATAAAACAAATGCTTTCATACGCTTTCATTTTCTTTCTTGGTACACATATCTTGAAAAAAAATTTTTAAGAATTATTTTATTTAAGTTTATTTTAATTTGACCAGAGTGGGACAGAGCAAGAGAGAGAGAGGGAAGTGAAAAAGCAAGCTGCCAGGTCCAGGACTTGAACTGTGGTCTGCCATGTGGGAGTCCAGTGCCCTTAACCACCTCGCCACCTGTTGGCCCCTTGAAATTTCTTAAAAGTAGAAAAGAGGAGGATTTAAAGTTTGGAGTCCATTTAATGATATAGTATGATATAGTATTATATAGTAATATATAGTAAT